CATGTAACTACGTGTACATGTTATTCGCCACGTCCGTCTTCATCTAACATGCTGGTTTTCAACTTTTCTCTCGCTTTATTACACGTTCCGTTTTCTCCGTGTGTCCTCTCTCGTAAAGTTGGCATTGCATATACGTGTTATACTCTCGCGTGTCTATCCCCGTTCAACTCATCGGTTTCCTATTTTCCTCTCTCTTTGTTCCACGGTCTGCTTCTCTCTGCGTGTCCTCTCTCGAGACACGATTCGAGAGTTACCAACGTTCGAAATCATCCCCCTCCGTTCTCTCTTCCTGTCGAGCCGCCCTTAGCTCTTTCTCGCTGCGTGTTCTCGCTTCCAGGAATATATTTCTAATTAGCTCCACTTTTCGATCTCCGCCGCGTGTTTATTCCAGGATTCGACGGAACAGAGGAGACAGGGTGGGGTTTAGGATAGGATATCGGAGGGTCGAGAGCGTCAAGTCCCGGCTCCACCATTGATCCGCTTAATTTCTCTCTTCTCGCGCCACCCTATCACATAGGCGAAGCTTTCTCTTTTAAGTTTTCTCGCTTTCTCGTAGTACTTCTGTCGATTCGAGCTTCCGTCGCGATTATCAACCGCTTCTGCCATCTTTCTTTTCTTTCTCCATCCTCTTTTGATAGTTTTGTGTGCCCGGTGGGCCAATTTCCGAGTTTAGTGGCCGATTTACTTATTAGTTTGGTTTGGATTCAAACTAAGTTATTGGATTTAAACTAATAATTGTGTTACAGAATTACGTGTAACAAAGTTATTATGCATTTGCAAATTGTTCTCGAATTTCACCCCAGTTAGTTGAATAGTTTTCATTAATGGCGTTTAAGGAAGATTCAATATTGTTAAACACGTAGTGTTTCAGAACAATTATTATTATTTTATAATCTGTGTCAACTTCGTACCTTTCATTAAATCCCAGAATTCTATATAAATTTATCCACGACAGAAGTAAGCAATATTGATATTAATTCCACATTTCTCTAGTTTTCTTGTACACGATTCTCAGATGTCATAGACAACTACAATTATAGCACGTAATAATGCTTGCAAATCTCTACTAAAAAATATTCCTCTAATTTGAACTTTCAACACTTCTAGTCATTAAATTCTGAATAATTTTTATAATTTTATGAAATGTAAAAAAAATTAAAATTTGCACAAATGATTCACGATGAATTATTGCCTGGCCCTTAATAAATTAATAGCATTCCTACTTGAACCAATTTCAAATCTGTCACGCGTAACTGTGTTCTCAAATACCGTAAACAGTTACAATAGCTCAAATATAACGGCCAACTCACAAAAGACGCACCCCAAATAATTTGCACCCCATTCTGTTTCACACAAGAATGACCGAGGCCAACTTTATGAATCTTCTCTCTGTTGAAAAGTAAATCAAACCAGTCGATAAATGGACATAATAGAACGTCAAACAAGACAAGCGGGCGTATCATAGTCACCCCTAGTGGCACCCCTGCGCGCGCGTGTTACGAGAACGGAAAGCCACTTGGCCTCTTTCACCGGCGGCTGCGATTCTTCGAG